GGGGTGTGGCCTGACCGGTGACCACCGCTGGTAACGCACTCCCTCACCAGAGAAGGATTGGCCACCCTGGTGCAGTATCTGGCCACTACCTCCCACATCCACACGTCAATTAACTCACGGCCCTCAGTCCCCAGCAGCTGCGAAGCAGCTGACCACGGCGGCGGTCAGATCTGCAACACAGCCGAGGGTGCTAAGAATCTCTGGATCCGGACAGGCCACCATTGGAACCTAAACTTGGCAACGTTTAACGCTAGAACCTTATCTAGTAAGGCAAGTCTAGCTATACTATTCGAGGAGCTAAAGGGTATTAGATAGGATATAATAGGGCTCAGTGAGGTTAGGAGGACAGATGAGGTCTATATGGTGCTACAGAACAGGCACGTCCTTTGCTGGCGGGGCTTGGCTGACACAAGAGAACTGGGAGTGGGGTTCCTAATTCACAGAAACATAGCTGGCAACATAGAGGAATACTATAGCATTAATGAAAGGGTCGTAGGTATTGTAATTAAACTGAATAAAATATACAAGATGAAGGTAGTACAGGCTTACGCGCCTACATCCAGCCATGATGACGCTTCAGTTGAAAGCTTCTATGAAGACGTGGAATCGGCAATGAGTAAGGTAAAAACACAGTATACTATAGTGATGGGCAACTTTAATGCAAAGGTAAGGAAGAAGCAGGCTGGAGACCAGGCAGTAGGAGATTATGGCATCGGCACTAGAAACGCCAGAGGAGAGCTACTATTAGAATTCGCAGAACGCAGTAATTTACGTATTTTGAATACCTTCTACCGAAAACGGGGAAACAGCAAGTGGACATGGAGGAGCTCTAATGGCGAAAATAAGAACGAAATAGACTTTTTAATGATTGCACACCCAGGCATCGTGCAGGATGTGGAAGTGGTTGGCAAGGTACGTGCAGTGACTATAGAATGGTACGGTCTTGAATTCACCTAGACTTGAAGAAGGAATGACAGAAACTGATACGCAAGAAACCAATTAATGAGCTAGCACTGAGAGAGAAAGTACAGGAATTCAGAGTCTCGCTTCAGAACAAGTACTCGGCTCTTATTGAGTAAACCAGCCTTAGCATCGATACAATGAATGATAATCTGACGAGTATCATTAGGAGTGTGCAGTTGAAGTTGGAAGTAGGGTAATTAGACAGGACACTAGTAAGCTTTCCCAGGAAACAAAGAATCTCATTAAGAAGCGTCAAAGCACGAAAGCCTTACGAATAACAGGCAAAATAGAACTGGCGGAGATTTCGAACTTGATTATTAGCGTAAGGTATCCGATGTAAGAAGGTATAACATGGAGAGAATTGAGCACGTTCTGAAGAACAGAGGAAGTGTCATATCAGTGAAAAGAAAACTTCGGATAGGCAAAAACCAGATGTATGCACTAAGGGACAAGGAAGGTTAAGTGACTACCAATATGGATAGGATAGTAAAATTAGCGGAGGAGTTTTACAGAGATCTGTACAATAGCCAGCACAACCACGACCTTAATATAAGAGCTAGCAGTAACCAAGATGACACCCCACCAGTAATGATAGAAGTCAGAAAAGCCTTGGAGAGCATGAAAAGAGGCAAAGCTCCTGGTGAGGATCAGGTAACATCAGATCTGCTGAAAGATAGAGGACAGATTGTGTTAGAAAACGTAGCGACCCTGTTTACATGGTGTCTTCTGACCGGAAGAGTACCAGAATCTTGCAAGAATGCTAACATCATCCTAATTCATAAGAAAGGAGATGACAAGGACTTGAAGAATTACAGGCCAATCAGCTTGCTCTCTGTAGTATACAATCTATTTACAAAGGTAATTGCCAACACAGTAAAGAAAACATTAGAATTCTACCAACCAAAGGAACAAGCAGGATTTCGAACAAGCTACTCAACAATCGACCACATTCATACTATCAATCAGGTAATAGAGAAATGCTCAGAATATAGCCAACCACTATACATAGCCTTCGTTGATTACGAGAAGGTGTTTGATTCAGTAGAAATATCAGCAGTCATGTAGACACTGTGGAATCAGGGCGTCGATAACGCATATATAAACATCCTGAAAGAAATCTACAGGGGATCAACTGCTACCATAGTGCTTCATAAAGAAAGCAACAGAATACCGTTCAAGAAGAGTGTAAGGCAGGGGGACACAATCTTCCCAATGCTATTTACCGCCTGCTTACAATAGGTTTTCAGAAGCCTAGAAGGGGAACAGTTAGGGATGAGAGTTAATGGTGAGTACCTTAGTAACCTGCACTTCGCCGATGAAATTGCATTGCTGAGTGACTTCAGGGGACGAACTCCAACTCATGATTACGGAGTTAGACTAAGGAGAGCAGAAAGGTGGGTCTTAAAATAATCTGCAGGAAACGAAAGTAATGTACAAAAACTTTGGAAGAGAACAGCACTTTGAGATAGGTAACAGTCCACATGAAATTGTAAAAGACGTTTACTTAGGACAGGTAATATCCGCGGAGCCAAATAACGAGACAGAAGTCACTAGAAAAATAGGAATGGGGTGAATCAGATTTGGCAAGCACTATCAAGTCATGACTGGTAGATTGCCACTATCCCTCAAAAGGAAGGCATACAACAGCTGCATCTTGCCGGTACTTAGCTACTGAGCAGAAAGCTCGAGACTTACAAAGAGGGTTCAGCTTAAACTGAGGACGATGCAGCAAGCGATGGAAAGGAAAATGACAGGTGCAACATTAAGAGACAAGAAGAGAGCAGAGTGGATCAGGGAGCAAACCGGGGTTAAGGATATCATAGTTGAAATCAAGAAGAGGAAATGGACATGGGCCGGGCATGTAGCGCGTAGACAAGATAACCACTGGTCATTAAAGGTAACTAACTGGATTTCCAGAGAAGGCAAACGGGTTAGGGGGAGACAGAAGGTCACGTGGGCAGATGATATTAAGAAGTTTGCGGGTATAAATTGACAGCAGCAAGCACAGGACCGAGTTAACTGGCGGATCATGGGAAAGGTATTTGTACTGCAGTGGACGTAGTCAGGATGATTATGATGATGATGATGATGATGATGATGATGATATGCAATGACCTGTTATTGCGCACTCATATTACTAATATCGTAGCATCTGCCAGTAATTCTTGAGACGTAACCTACATCATGCTCCCACGAAAGTGAAACTACTAGCCTATAAATTGGTCATTAGACCAAAGCTGGAATACGCATCCGCTATATGGAGCCCACACCAGACCGAGCTCGCCTCTGCCCTGGAAGCAGTTCAGAACCATACTGCCAGATTCATTTATTCGAACTATCATTACCGAGCTAGCGTACCATCACTGGAAGCGAAATCCTGGCTTATCTAATCTCTATCCTTCGCCATCGCATTACAACGTTATCTTCATTACACAACTTTTTTTTTAGTGATCTCGGTGATCCACCCACACTGATCACCTTACCCGCATAGCTCATCGCGGTGGACTTGAACTGCGAGTAGTCACGCCCACAATTGTTGCGCCCATCAAACTTCTTGGACAATGTAAACAATATATTTACGGAGGGGCTGTACTGTAAACTAATCCCTCAATTAACACCGCCTTTTACGGGTCTCTACGTGATGTGATGTGATGTGGAGAGCGTTGATACCATGCACAAAAATCTAAAAATGTCCTTTTTGTGATGTCTCAAAGTATTGTCAGTACATAACTCTGAACTCTCTTTAGGAAAGTCTCACCGGCCACGACACTCTGTATAGATTCGACAGAATGGGAGTACCTTAAAAGGAGAGTCATTAATGTGACAAGACAGGAATTAATCACAAAAAAAGAAGGGGCAGCTCCGTATGAGTGGTACATACACTCAAGAAGCACTCGAGCTGGGGCGTTACCTTCCTCCTTTAGCCCCTGAGCCACACTTCTCTTTGCTGTGCTATGCGAAGCTATCATCTTTAACTCTGTCCTCTCCTCCTTTTCTTCTTTCACACATTCAGTTCCCTTTCCTCCCTCCCGATACTATGCATGGCTATGCTATGCTTTCTTTTCCTTTCTTTCAGTTACTCTTTTGTCACTCTCTCTCTTTCGTTTTCTTTCTCTCTCTGTCTCTCTCTATGTTCCCGTCACTCTCTCTTTCTGTTGCTCTTTGTTTCTCGTTCTTCATTTTTTTTTTGTAATCTTGCCCACAGCAGCACAATCATAATGTCACCATATATGCTAGTTGACAGCGTGTTTGGACAGCCAAAATAAAGGATAAAAAGGAAGCCTCGTTAGCTTAGTGGTTACGAGGTTCGACTTCGAAATCCGCCTCACCAAGAGATTGTTACTTTCATTCATTTGTTTCATTCACTTGTTGTCCTCCCCCCCCCCCCCCATCGTTCTTTCCTCCATTGCATTGCTAGGTACAAGAAATGGCATAGAACAAAGAGGCCGTTCAGGATGATGATAGCTCCCTGTCAAAAACACGTGATGCTAGGCAGTTTAAGCAGCTCCGCTGTGAAAAGAGTTAACTCTCTTTTGTTTTCACAGCTTCTGCTTCGTGAAGCTCTTAGTTGAACCAGCAATACAATACATTCATGGCAGGCCTTGAGAACGCAGTTATAAAGGATCAAGATGATTTCTTTTATAGCTGTGCGCACAGGGAGGGGGCAGAAAAGCAAAGCCCCCCCCCCTCCCACCACCCAGCCACCTAAGAGGGATGAAGGCACTAGTTCTGTCTCATACATTGACTTAATAGGGGCGAAGCACTGCGGAGAAACTTCGCCTTGTTCAAGGGGAACCTTGCGCACTCTTATGACTTCCTTTGAGTGAGGCTGCCTCCCGGACATGTGTATCAACGAAGCAAGATTTCTGTTGAACTGCAATTCAAAGAAAACACGTATGGAGCACGTCAGAAGCAGTGCACAGCTTTCGAGGTGTGCAAACGAACAGTTGAGCAACATGTATTCGCAGCGAGTCGTACGCCTATTTCGACGAATCGGGACCTCCACGGTGCTAAGTACACTGACAAAAAGCGCTTACCTCCATCGCAATGGCGGTGCAGACGAATTTAATCAGTCGAAGCCGATGACAGCGCACGCAAAACCAGCAGACGACAATGAAATATCCGGATATTTCTGTGAATGTAGTCCAAGCTGCAGGGCGCGGGAGCTGATGGACACGGCGGCGAAAGCGCGAGCGCAAGATCGGCTGGTCACGAAGCAACTGCACCGGGCACCCGAGCGGAACGTTGCACGGAGAGAGAAAAGTGCCGTTAAAGAAAATAAAAGCAACAATGAACATTTGGCAGCGAATAAAAGACAGTCATAAGGCGGGTCCCGCAAGGGTTGTAGAAGAGAAGTGAGTCAGTCGGAGAGGGCCAGTGCGCTCAAGGGCGTACGCGGTTCGTTGCTACAGCACCGAGCTGCATGACTTTCGTGTTTTTTTTTCTTTTGTTTCCTGCATGCAGCGAAAGAGGGGTTGTTGCTCCTTCGCCAGCTTCGATGCCCTATCTTACCGCTATCCGGCGCTGTGGCTCACCGCAGTTATGTGCAGCGTCTACGAAGCTGCAACGAGCGGTAAGCGTGCGCGATCATTCTATTCCAGTTTGTTGCGTAACGGACAGGGGGGAACGGAACAGAGGGAGTGCGTTATTTTCGGTGTCATGGTGATGGAATCGAGACAGTGTCAAGAGTCTGTTTTCTCATAACAAAGAAAAATACTGTAATAAGAACGCAAGGAATCGGCTTCACATATACAGCTACTGCTTAAAGACAGTAGTAAAAAATCATAAAGCAACTTGAGGCATACGTATGACACGGCTTATATATATATATATATATATATATATATATATATATATATATATATATATATATATATATTATGAGATCTAACAGACAGTAATGCCAAGGAATGTACAGGGGAAGATATTAGAACCAATGGAATGTAAATTTACATTCCATTTGTTCTAATAACTTCCCCTGTACATTCCTTGGCATTACTGTCTGTTAGATCTCATTAGTATTGTGTTAAAACACAAAAAAACGAGCCCTTAGGTATACACTTCTTTCCCCTATTATATATATATATAAAGAAAATCACTTCGTACGTGCGTCTTCCTCACTGCGGCGGATAATCTTAGGCGGACCCAGCATCACTTTTGTTTCCGGTATATATATATATATATATATATATATATATATATATATATATATATATATATATATATATATATATATATATATATATATATATATATATATATATATGTGTGTGTGTGTGTGTGTGTGTGTGTGGTGTGTGTGTGTAGTGCGAGAGAGAAATAGATGAATACCAACGAGAAAGAAATTGAACGCAAGAGTGGTCTGCTTATATTCAAGACGTTAACTGCTAATGATGTCACGAATGAATCGTGCAAAATACTTTATATCAAGCTTCTTTTTTTTAATCTCTTCGCTTATCGAGTAGCGAGGGAGTCATCATCTAATCAGACTTTGCACGCCACGCGTGTAGCACGACGTGGCCCCCTCGAATGTCGACGATCGCCGGAGATCAATTCAGTATCGAAGTGACGTATAAATAACCGGTGCATTTGACGACCTTGCACTTGAACCGCGAGTTCAGATTCAACGAGAGTCGACTGCGCTCGCAGCTGCGATTGCTTGTTTTTCTGGTCGAGCACACCGTGTGAGTACACTTTCGCTCTGGGAATGCGCACATTCAGTTGCGCGTGCTCTGTGCATGGTTTCCGAAATTGTGCACCGGCTGGCAAACCTGCCGGTGTGCAATCTGGGAGGCATAGAGCTTCATGACAGTACACTTTAGAGGGAAATGATGCGCTAGTGTGAAGGGTGCTTCAGCCTGCTGCATGAAGATGGTAGGTAGTGCATAGTGTTTTGACTGGGACTTGGTCGGGACCCGGACCCATCCAAGGGTCAGGGAAAAGACAAACCGAGGAGCTTGAGCTAAAGCTGGAACGTTTGTTTACAGATATTTACATTATTTAGGCAATGTAAATATCTCTAAATGTCTGTAAAATTTTGACACGTAAATGGCCACTATTCCTCAAGAGGTAGGTACATAACAGCTGCATCTAGGTGGTACTTAGCTACAGAGAAGAGACCTGGATACTTACAAAGAGCGTTTAGCTTAAATTGAGGACCATGCCGCGAGCAATGGAAAGGAAAATGGTAGGTGTAACCTTAAGAGACAAGAAGGGAGCAGAGTGGATTAGGTAACAAACTGGGGTTAAGGATATCATAGTGGAAATCAAGAAGGGGAAATGGACATGGGCTGGGCATGTAGCGTGTAGACAAGATAACCACTGGTTATTAAGGGAAACTAACTGTATTTTCAGAGAAGGCAAGCGGGTTAGGGGGAGACAGGAAGTTAGATGGGCAGATGAGATTAAGAAGTTTGTGGGTATAAAATGGCAGCAGCAAGCACAGAACCAAGTTTACTGGTGGAACATGGGAGAGGCCTTTGTCCTGCAGGAAATGTTGTCCGGCTCATGATGATGACATTATTTAGGTAGCGTGCTACTACAGGACAAAAAAAGGAAGCTCTCCGAAGCGTCACTGCGCTCACGTTTTATATCCTTCATCTTCCCAGGATTCCTTGCCAGGGAAAACAAATATGTCCAGGGCCCTCCAATGGGATTCTCGTCTCCTACTCTGCCCCAAAGAGGCAAGGTCAAACACTTCCTCCCTCTGAACCTAGGAAAGGGGAAAAGGCACGCACAGTTCATCGCACAAGGAGGGGGCAATACATTGATCCATGTCCTATATATAGAACACCATGGCTTAGTGGTTGTCAAGTGAAATACCGTGAATTAAAATATATCTACTTATTTGACCCTGTTAGTGCAAGTTATCCTTGTGAAACTAACATATACAACCACGTATTAGTTACAGTGCCTAAACTGTGTAATAGCAAGTTTTGCGCTCGTGATACATAGTTCCTCATTGCACTTGAATGGCCGCCGTCTATTGATTGAGTAATTTGGAAGATGCAACATCATAACAAATTGCTGAATCCTGCTTTGCAGCACTAGAATTACTTCGGCCCATGTTTGCAAGGGCAAGCTAATTGAACTACACTTCGTCGTCGTCTTCTAGGAAGCACGGAACCATTATTACCATTATTATCACGCACCATTATTATATTTCATGAAATGAACTAAAATGCATTACGTACTATCTCTCTAGTAGACACCCTTTACATATTATGTAAGTGATGTGGGCAGGTTTCTCGACTAGAATAACGAAAAGTTAGGAGCTTTTACAAGAGCTACACATTCGGATCAGCCTGAATGCATTCAGATGTCTGACAACCACTGAGCCCAGGTGTTATATATTTAGGATATGAAGATTGTTCACTGCTGTGAGTGATACGTTAGTGTTAGGGAAGACCCACTTTGTAAATATCAAGGTAAACATCTTAGAAACAACATGAAAAATACGGTAGGTACTGATTCAATATCTAACCAGTACGGTGTCATTCATTACTTGGTTGTGGCGAGTGTAATAGTTATCGCATTTCGACATTTTCTTTTTCACTTTGCAGAATTCCAAAGAAAACGACGACGATAAAATTACCACCTGAGATTGCGCAGGTCTATTGAAGATAGTTCGGACACCTTTTTCAGTTTTAGACTTCAGTATGTCACATTTGGCAGCAACATTCCTTCCCGTCCTTTTTATATGAAGGCAGGGCCGAAAGGGATAAGCAGTTGTTCACAGTCACGTAACGATGCCAACAGCAATGTGGATATTAGCTACACCAGAAGCGGTAAGCTGATATGAAGCGCAAGTGTTTACGCTGGTGCACGCGATAATGGCAGCCCTCAACACTACTACACAAATCAACTTCAGCGGATGGCGCCTAATTACAATTTACGTTAACCCGACATCACGACTGTAACGCAGGGGTACATGTGTAATAGTTACAAAATTCAATAGCCCGCACAGCAACTACACCTGATGTTACACGAACATTATGGCATATTTAAAAACTATAGTTAAGGTCTGGTGTGGCTCTGCGGTAGAATGCTTCATTGTCACGCAGAATTGTAGAGTTTCATTCCTGCTGGGACTCGTGGATCTATTGCTCTCATTCGTCCAGTCAACGCTGCCCATGGTAGCTTTTAACGCTCAAGCGTTATTAAAGTTACCCATGCGTGTTCTCGCCATTCCTGGGTAGATATAAAATGCCTATCACCTGTGGCACATAACTGCATACCAGTGGCACATATTCCCCCTCCCCTTAGTATTGATTGATTGATTGATGTGTGGGGTTTAATGTCCCCAAACCACCATATGATTATGAGAGACGCCGTAGTGGAGGGCTCCGGAAATTTCGACCACCTGGGGTTCTTTAACATGCACCCAAATCTGAGCACACGGGCCTACAACATTTCCGCCTCCATCGGAAATGCCGCCGCCACAGCCGGCATTCGATCCCGTGACCTGCGGGTCAGCAGCCGAGTACCTTAGCCACTAGACCACCGCGGCGGGGCCCTCCCCCTAGTATGTGCCACTATTTTACTGTTTTTTTTTTTTTTTGGAAAGTGTTTGGCGACGTACACGACGAGATTGTGACATTATTCATAACATGCGAATCGTGATCGTCAAACCATCTTACCTTAAAAGTGGCCCTGCAACACTTTTTGAGCACGGTCATAAAACGCTGCCGATCGGTAGTAGGAGCTTCAGAGAACACGTGATCCATACAATACAGCGCAGCACACTGCCTGGAATTCACAATAAACGATAAAAGTCAGTTAAAAACTGCTTTCTCTTCTCTTGAAAAATTACAGAAGACGCTCAAAAATCACTAGTATAAGGTCATCTATCAGGCATTGGCTGATTTGAACATGTCGTGCTCGGTCGGTACATAGATCGCCACGGGCGAACCCTCTACAAAAATTGCGGCGTCGATTGAACCACGGTAATTTGGGTCGAGTGGGGATCAAACCCGAGCTGTACGCGGCGCAAAAGTATATTCTTCCCCACAGCCACATGTCTGTTTGGGAATGTAGGGAAAAGAACTTCTTCCGCCTGAAAATGCAGTGACAGTAGCTTTCATGCCGTACAAACACAAGCGTCCTGTGTACATTCTTCACAACGCAACATGAAATATTGCAGTAACAATGCGTGGTACAAGCCTCCATTGCCAGTGGGCATCAGAACATGTGAATATCATATTGTCTTCGTGGTTTAACGCCGGTCACCCACTACAAAAAGCACACTCGCTACTGCACTCTTATGGCCACGTAGTGTGTGCATAACAAGTTCGAAAAAGTTTCATGAACGAAGTGCTTGAAGTACACACTGGAAACAGGATATCGCTATCCGGTTCAACTC